TGCCATCAGAGTGGTATCATCTGCATATCGGAGGTTGTTGATATTTCTTCCGGGAATCTTAATTCCGGCTTGGGATTCCTCCAGTCCAGCCTTCCGCATGATGTATTCTGCATATAACTTAAATAAGCTGGGGGACAATATACAGCCTTTTCGTACTCCTTTCCCAATTTTGAACCAATCAGTTGTTCCATATCCAGTTCTAACGAAGTGAAATCTAAGGTCCCTCAATCTCCACATGAGACCCATTTCTTTGTCTGCAGACTCCTTCTTAAACCAATTACCTTCTGAAATAATATCTGTGCAACATGGGCTTAAGATCAGCCTTTCTTGTTGCTTTTAACATTCTGCCAAATGAAAGGATAATATTCTCTAAAGTGTGCTCCTGTTTGGTACACTTTTGCACTTTTGTTTTATTTGATTTATAGAAGTATTGCTTCAGTATGGAGTTCAGAATTTATTTTGTGGTACCACAGCTGCCTCCGCTTAGTTTTAGGAAGTTTTTATTAATGCTGAAATCTCCACCCTCTTGTTTTCCTCCTCAGCTCTTGAACAATAGTCTTTTATCACCTGTGCAATATCTGTTCTGATATTTGAAGAGAGCTTCTTTTCACCAGGTTAAACATACCCTGAGCTTGTGCGGGTGTGGGAAAGAACCCAAAGCCAGTGTTAGAACATTCCAAAGGTCCCATGTTCAATTCCTGCCATATCCGGAGAGGGCACTAAGCCATATTTGAGCAGATTTCTCCTGCACTCTAGAAACACTTTCAAGCACCTTGGTTAGAATGTTGTTGAGGAAAGTGGAATGAAATGAATCACAAGTATAGTGCTTTGCATGGTTTCTGGCTTGATCAATGGGGTTGGCATATACATGAGTGGGTAGTTAACATGACCTTGCACAGATGCTGGAGAGGGAAACAACACTAGGCACAACATGCTATTATTCATATGATACAAATAAAGAGTACAGTGGTGCCCCGCAAGACGATGTTAATTCGTTCCGTGAAAATCGCTGTTTTGTGAAAACATCTTCTTGCGAAATGTGGTTCCCCATTGGAATGCACTGAAATCCATTTAATGTGTTCCAATGGGGAAAAATCGTGATTGTTTCATGAAAATCGCCCATAGGGAAAACCGTTTTGCGAAGCACAGATCAGCTGTCAAAATCGCTGTCTTGCAAAAAACAATCCTGAAAAAAATCGTCTTGCGAAGCATGGACCGAAACATCGTCCAGCAAAAATCACCCATAGGGAAAACCGTTTTGCGAAGCGTTATAGCGATCGCAAAAACTCATTGTCTAGTGAATAAACCATTTTGCGAGGTAATCGTCTAGCTAGGCACCACTGTATTCTGTCCTTTGTTGAGAAAAACTCCCTCAATCTTAGGTGGAGAGGTTATCCAGGTTTCAATCAGCAAGGACAACTTCCAGAAATGGCCCAAGGTTTCAAAACAAAGCTTCTTAAAAACAAGTGAAGAATCCCAAGAGCATACTGAAAAACCACCCTAATTGATTCCACTTCCTCTCCCCCAAAATGCTACAAAGTCCCATGAATCATTCTCACCAGAAAATAACATATCGATTACAAGGCATTTGGTCTCGGTGTAACGCTCTTTCTAGCACCATTTATTAGTAACCTTGTAATGCTGCCTTTGTAATTGGGTTGTTTGTGATTTTATGACTCCTATTTTATTTTTCGGTTCCTGTTAGGAGGCATAGCTGGCTGCATAGCTCAGTGATTAAGGTATCTGGCTGCCGAGCCAGGGACTGAGAGTTTGATTCCCCACTGTGCTTCATGTGAGAATACCCAGCCTGTGTGGTCTTGGGCAACCTGCACAGTCCCAGGGCACCCCCAGAAGAAGGGAATGCTAAGCCGCTTCTATATATTCTCTACCTGGAAAACCTTGAAAAGGGTCACCATGAGTCAGAATTGATTTGATGGGCACATTATTGTTATTTATTATTATGAGGCTTGAAAGCACCATCAAACCAAAAAGAAAGGTAACATTTAAAAATGCAGTTGTAGAAGAGGAAGCTGTATTAGTCTGTGTAAGCATTATAGGTAAAAGCAAAAGAGAACTTAAAAGTTAAAAAACACAAAATGTGGTGGCACCTTAAAGACTAACTAAAAGTTAAAAAACACAAAATGTGGTGTTAAAGACTAACTTTTATATCTTTTAATGCGAGCTTTCGTGGAGAAGTTCACTTTGTCAGATAAGCATTTAAAATGCTTTGACAAAAATAAATAAATAAATAAAAAGAGTTTAATGTTTCCTAATGTTGCTATAAGCCGGCTGCATAGCTTAGTGAGCTGGAATACCTGACTGCAGAGCCCTGGGGGTTAAGAGTGTGATTTCCTATTGTGCCTCCTGAAGAAAAGCCGGCCACTGTAGCCTTAGGTAAGCTGCACAGTTCTAGAGCATCCCCAAATGAAGAACATGGTGTACCATGTCTGAGAACTCTCTATCTAGACCACCCTGGCCAGGGACCATTAGAACTGATGTGACAACACACAGTAATAATTACAATAAATGTTATGTTGAGTGTTCAGATCTCGTCATATTTCTTCTACTGAGTGCTTGATTTTTATGGAAAAACACTCTGAAATTCTCCTGAGATTAAGGTGCATCTTTAATTTCTAGATTTTAAAATTAGCTACTTAATGAACTAAACAGTACTGATCATTTCAGGCCAGATACCAATTGGGACTCCTCCATGATGGTCTTGGTGACCAGGAAGAGACATGGTATATTTAGTTATTTAATTCAATTTTTACCCTGCCCATCTAGTGGCTAGGCTATTACTTTGCGCGGCTTACAAGAAAATCATCCACAACATAAACTAAGATTCAATAATAAACAATTATTAAGACATTAAATTAAAAAAGCTGACAAAAACCACAACTTACATTTATTTTAGGATACACGACGGCAACAATATTTATTTTGAAGTCTAAAATTATAGATACTGGAAATTAAAAGAGCAAGATTGGCAGAGCAGATTGATAGTATCTTGCACAAGAGTTGTGAAGTAAAGAGGAAGACATCAGATAAAGCAGCAATGAGTGGGATATGGAAATGTATTGGTTGTGAGTGGAAGGACCCAAAGATGACTCAGAACATATATAAGCTCTTTAACAGCAAAGGTGCACATTCATTTGCTAAACAATTTAAAGCAAATTCCACAACAGCCTAAAATGTCAGCATGAATTCCCATTTTCTCACAATGGCAGTTCTGTGCCCTGTGGTTTGGTGCTTGATCACATCATACACACAGCTGATACTCTGCTGCATTTACTGTGTGTTCTTGGATATTACTATTGGGTTTTGAAAAAATATTGGCACAACTGTGTCTCACAAATGATAGGGGTCAATGCTACTCAATGAAGAAACAACAGAGAAGCCCTGGTCTACATAATTTTCAGATGCCAGGTCTATGTAAGTAGTTTGATATAGACAGGTATATTTTAACATACATTACACTAACACAGATTATTGTTTGTTCTGTATCTGTTAATATAAGTATTCCAAATGTATATATGTATATATGGATAGTTCTTTTTCTAGAAGATGCTGATTGAGAGCAAGACACATTTTGAAAGATATTAAATATTTTAGTTTATCCACAAAATTGTACATATTAATGGAAAGCTTACATTTTGAGTGTCGGATGTTAGGCAACTAAAAAGACAGAAGCCAGATGCAAAATGAGCTTTTCTTATGGAGTTTTGCTTCTCTGGTTTGAATGATAACTGAATGCTTCCAGCAAGGAAACTTTCACTGGATTTCATTTTCAAACGGGAAGCCCTGGCAAACTCCATCCTCTAACACTAAAAATAAATCATGCTTTCAGAAGGGAGGAGAAGCTATGGGAAGTCACAGCATTAAGTGTTAAGTCCTATTCCAACACTGTGTCCACTATACTGCGCTGCCTCTCAAGCATCTTACACTAATTTAAAAAACAACTTGATTTACAATAGTATAAATCTCAAAGATAGCAACCTGCAAATAGATCCATCCTGTTGAGTTTCATAAAGTGACAAAGAATTCGTGAATATATTGACAAAGAATTCTTCTACTTCAGATTTGGAATTCACATCATGTATTTATTTATTTATTTATTTATACACTCATACATATTTTTTCTGACACATCTTGACACTTACCTGGGATGAAAAGTTGCCAAGTGGTCTCCCGTCTCCTTTATTCCTGCTAAGCTGTTGGCTTCTGTATCTTCAAGCTGACTGGAAAAACTTGTAAACAAATACATACTGGATGTGGGGGTGTTAAGAAAACCATTTCCTCCTCCATCGTCTGAAGCAATTTGATAGGGAAAGAGTTCCCCAGAAGCTGGTTCATATCAATGTCCACATCAATGCCGCCCTGAAATCAGTACTGGCTTGGTTTGTGCTCTTTGAATCCAGATGATTAGGATCAAAACTATTATAGACGCCTCTCTGTCCTGATTGCCTTTAACTATAAAGAGACGATTCACATGAACTCATACGTAAAGTCAAGATGGTTATTTTCTGCAACTATTCATGTGAGTTCCTGCTTTTGCCTCCTTCATCAGGGATTCTTGATAGTAAGAGGTAGCAGGCACAATCCTAAGGCCTGCCTTTTCCCAGAAGAGGGATACTTTTAATTGATGGGAAGACACTCTTATTCCACAGGGCTTTCCTGTGGAGATTCCCCAGTTGCCTTTCCCTGAAACCCCCAACCTCACCAAAGGGAGTCAGGGCAGAGGGATATAAAAAATACAGCCAGTTTTGTTCCCTCCCCATACTTCCTCAAGAGCAGTGCTTCCCAACCTTGGATCTCCAGATATTCTTGGACTACATTTCCCAGAAAACTTCACCAGCACAGCTAGTGGTGAAGGCTTCTGGGAGTTTTAGTTGAAGAACATCTGAGGATCCTAGGGACTTTGCATGCTGGCTGAGTACCAAGACTGGAACATGCTGGCTGCAAGATTCTAGGACTGGAACACACTGGCTTCACTAAAACCAACCAACCAACCAACCAACCAACCAACCAACCAACCAACCAACCAATCCAAGCTTCTCATTTCTGCTTGTCCAAAATGGTGCTTTGTTGATAGAGCTTATATTAATGACAGTGTTTTGGGGGCTGGCAGGTTGCGGATGCTGTGATGTTGACTTGTGTGTCCTGTGTCCTGAAGGGCAGGGATCCATGACTGGCAGTGTGTTGCCCAATCCCAATGTTGCTGCTTCTCTCTGGGGTGTGGATGTGGGCATTTCCATTGCCTCAGTCCTTGATTGGTGGACTCTGGGAGGTAATCTGGTCTTCTTTTACAAAACGCACTTCTCCATTTGCAGGGCCACCAGATGACAATCCTTCTTTTGAAAGGTTGTGCAGTCTTGGTTAGATTTGAAGGCAAAGAAACCTAGGGAGATGTTGTACGGGTCTTGAAGTGGCCCATCCCTTGTCAACTGCTGCACAGCAGAGTTAGCAGGCACCCACGTCACCTGGGTCATTGCCTTCCCCACACGAACATTATGAACCTGTTTCAGTTACAGAGGTAATTTCTTATTTTGTATCCATGTGTACAAATTAATGTCGGCAATTTTCTGCAGATATGCCCTGTGTTTCATCCTTTTTGATCATCCATTCAAGATGGGAATTTTTTTTTTCAAGTGATGATAGCAGGGAAAGAGCCAGGTCTTAAGTTTGCTCTTAAAAACACCCAGCAAGGGAGCCAGACGATCTCTGGGGGCAGACTGTTCCAAAGGGGTCAAAGTGGGCCACTGCTGAGAGGGCCCGGTTTCTTGTTCTTTCCCTCCGGGCCTCCCTCGGCATTAGGCCCCTCAGAAACCCTTCCTGGCTAGAACAAGTGATTCGGGTAGATCTAGGTGGAAGGAGGCATTCCGCTAGATATTGAGGTCCTAAACCGTTTAGGGCTTTATACGTCATCATTAACACTTTGAAATCAATGTGGAAATGAATGGGCAGCCAATGCAAGGCAGCCAGACTGGGGGAAATATGCTGATATTTTCTCATCCCATTAAGAAGTCTGGCCACCCTGTTCTGCACCATTTGAAGCTTCCGCATTAATCTCAAAGATAGCCCCACGTAGAGTGCATAACAGTACAGTAGTCTAATCTTGAGACTACAAGCACATGGGCCAGAGTGGTGAGCGCCCCAACATCAAGATACGGATGCAGCTGGGCAATCTGCCACAGATGGAAATAGGCAGAGCCGACCACTGACACCACCTGGACTTCCATGGTAAGGGCCGGATCCAGATGGACCCCCATGTTCGAATTGCCTTGACAGCACATAACAATGCCAATTCTTTATGACTAGGAGAAATCTACCCACAAAGAAGGGATGGAATATTCTTATCTTAGGGGGAGGCATTAAGCATTTGCTGGTTGTCCTCTGAAACTCCTAGAGCATTTCTCCAATGTCTTTAATTGGCAGATAGGTGTTTGAGAAACACATGTCATTCCTTCCTGAGAACACTGAGTGCTTCACTCCCTCTCTGGGAGGAGCACAGAAACATCTGGTCGAAACAAACTTTCAGCCTGCCCTAACATATCTCAGGGTTCAAAACTGCTTATTAGTATATCAATCTTTCTTGCTCATCTCAAACCAGTGGCTAGGTGCTTTATAGCAGGTCAGTGTTATTCACTTCATCTACATACTCTACAATGATGACAGGGCTTCTGGTGCAAGACTATGGGTGTGACTACACGCCCAGTGGGGAAAATACGCCTGGATCTGCTGTGTGTTATTCAGTTTTTCAAATTGTCTTCCACAGGTGAAATGGCTGTAGCCATCTGGACAACGACTAATTTATAGATGTCAGCAGGGGTACAGCCACAGAATTGTGTTCACACAGAGCTCCAGCAGCAGACGCTACCTTTGATGAGGTACTAACTGAGAATTTGACAAGATGCTAATTGGCAATTTTCACATCTTTTAAAAAAATGTCAGTGACCCAGTGCCACTCACTCCAGCATTGAGGCAAAATTATTTGAACTGTTGAACAATGGAAGTACCATTGAGGGGAACTGGTGCTCCATGAGCTTCCTCAGAGGCACTTTAAATGATGTCAGGTGTGTACTGACTCCTACTTATCATGAGTATGAATGTGATTGCTTACTGCTGAACACAGCTACACCCCCAGTTATAGGAGGGTGTGCACACATATGCAACCATATTATTTCAGTTTTTTATGTTTACTTCCCTCCACCTTAAAGATTTCGGTTTGTTGTTCAATTGAGTTGTAAAGTTCATAGGTCTTATTAAAGGTGATTTATCTTTGTCTCATTTTTTTTACATCACAGACACATTTTAACAGGGGTGTGTAAACTTTTTATATCCACTGTAAAAGATGCTTCACATAGATTTAAGCTGGAACATCATTTAGGCTGATTGACCGATAATTGTTGGGATCCTGCTGGTTTTCTTTCTTAAAGAGTGGAGTATTAATACTAGCTTTCCAATCCTTTGGTGTACAACCAGTCTTGTTTATGTGTGTAAACAGACCAAACAGTATGGAAACCACCAATGTATATTTTGTGGTTGTTTAATCGTTAAGTTGTGTCCAACTCTTTGTGACCCCATGGACCAGCACATGCCAGGCCCTCCTGTCTTCCACTGCCTCCCGGAGTTGGGTCAAATTCATGTCAAATTCACTGTCCAATCATTTCATCCTCTGTTGTCCCCATCTCCTCTCCAGAGACCTTTGGGTAGTGTGGGTGGCATATAAACAAATAAACAAACAAATGCTGTCATTATCACACATTTTTGCCCTTCAGTAGAGTCCCTGCATATTTGGATCTCTCCTGATAATAGTGGTTTGGCTAGTAGTTTGACTGCAAATGCAAAAAGGATAGGAGAAAGTGAACAAATGTGATTATCCCCCCCCCCATGACAGGTATAGGATCTAAGTCCATATTATGACTTCTCGCAGTTGCTTGGTGTTTATCATACAAGGTATGCAATATTCTCAAGAAAAAAAACTCCACCACATTTTCATGGCTCCACATACTTTCCAAATGAAACGGCATCCAAGATTCCAAAAGCTTTAGTGGCATCACATGATGCAATGGCATATGCAATGGTTTGTTTTGTTTGAACCATAATATACCACATTGAACAATCTTCTGGCTGGATCAGAGTTTTGTCTCTGTTTTAGGAAGCCCAACTGATAGTTTCCAATAAATTTTATGGCAAGTTCCTGCAACCTGTTGGTTAATATATTTGGGAATAATTTAGCATCTTGATTCAGTAATATGAATCAACTTTTGTGAGATCTTTATTTGGCTTGCTGATTAGTATTGTTCTAGCTAAGTTCCAGGAGGGGGGCATTTCATAACCATTCATAACTGAGTTATAGAAGTTAAGAGGCAAAGATGACAGCTGATCTTCAAAGGTTTTATAGAAACATTCACCAGAGCTAGCCAAACCAGGTGGCTTAAGTGGTTTTCAATTTTCAATTGATTTCTGTAACTCCTCAGATGTAATTGGTTCATACAGGAAGAGTCTATGATCTTCAGTGAATTTTTAAAAATTTACTTTGGCTATCAAATCTTAATTTTAGTTTCATTAGGGTTTGACATAGTGTACAATAAATTAGATTTTTAAAAATATTATTAATTTTAGCAACCTCATAAATTTTCTCCACTTTGGTTTTTTACAGCTGCTATTTGACATTTAACTGGGTTTTTTCCTAATATAATTAGCAAGTAATTTGGATATTTTTCTGCCAAATTCGTAATATTTTTGGTTGACATATTGCAACATCATTTTGTATATTATTTCTGCTCACCTAAACAAACAAATGGGTCCTAAATCAAATTAAGCCTGAAATTAGGCAAAAATGATGAAACTGAGGCTGTCCTGCTTTGGGAACATCATGGGAAAGAAAAATTTTCTGGAAAAGACAATAATGCTGGGAAAGGCAGAAGGCAGCAGGAAAAGAGGAAGACCAAATATGGGATGGATGGATTCCCACAAGAGCTAAGCAGAGCAGTTGAGTACAGGCCATTTTGGAGATTGCTCATTCATAGGGCTGTTATAAGTTAGAGGTGAGGTGACAGCACATAACAACAGCAAACAAATAAATTTAGGCTGCCGTCCTATACACACTTACCTTGAAGTGAATTTTATTTGATTTACTTTCGAGCAGAGATGTGTAGGATCCAAGTCTGGCCTGAGACATTTTCCTATCTAAGGCACAAGTTGAAATAGGACCCCTACCCTAACCCCATCCCAACCTCCCACCCCATTTAATGTACAACA